AGGGGTCAGAAAAAGAATACTTAAAAGGATCTGCATTAATGGATGAATCAGTTAAAAGTGGCAGAAAATGGTTTTGTATATTTGAACTTTCAACATTCTTTTAATATAGCATTGTAACAATGTAGAATTAGCCTACCTTGTTGTTGTTTTTTCTGTCTGGTTTAGGGAAGGTTGATAATATTTGGTATTGGTATCCATCCATTCATCCATCCATCCACCCACTCACCCATCCATCCATCCATCCATCCATCCATCCATCCATCCATCCATCCATCTATCTATCTATCGATCGATCGCATCTCTCTCCATTTCTCTCCCCACTCTCTCTTTCTCTCTCTTTCCCACTCTCTCTGTCTCTCAAGGCTATGTATAACTCGGAGAATTCCATGATATTGATTTTTAAATTATTGAGTTCTATAATAAATACACAAATAGGCAGCTAGTATTATAGAGAATGAATAAGGTTTTAACAACAGAGGAAGAAACATCAATAAAATGCATCTCAGATATACCAAGTACTCTTATTACATATGCAAATGGGACAGCTCTGAAAGAGAATCACTGAAAGAGAATCATTACTCTGTCTTTGCCTTCACTTCACATAAAACTCAGATTGATGAAAAAAAATTATGAAACTGATAAACAAGAGAGGTAAAGTTTTTTATTATTTGATGCACAAGTTTCCAAAAATAATTGATGCTAAGATTAAGGAAGGTATTTTTGTTGGTCCACATATTGAATATGTCATCAATCACAAGCAGTTTGAAGATATATGAATGGGGCCATAAGAACCCCCAGGAACACTTTCAAGGATCTCATTGACAATTTTCTTGGTAACTATAAAGCACTATATTCATCTGGTTGACAAATGTTTTACAGCATACAAAACCACAAAGTGCAACATGTCACTGAAGATTCACATTCTGCATTCACACTCCATCTTCTGCATATATATTATTCTGCATTCACACTCCAACTTCTTTCCCAAAAATGTAGGTATAGTCAGTGACAAACATGTTGAAAGCTTTCACCAGGACATTGTCACAATGGAAGAACAATTATCAGGGCTACTGAACTCCATCAATACTGATTGACAATTTTTGCACATTGCAGTGAGATGCATCAGACACTGAGTACAAATGAAAATCAGCAGCAAACCAGTTGACTCTGTTGAACTCACGCTGCATGTTGCAAACTTTATGACATTAAATGCATTGTAGTCATTAAAAGTTAATTTCACATTTCTCAAGATTCCAACATTACCAAATTCCATCAAATTTAGCAAAAGCAAAACTTTTTTTGGGGGGGAAATGTTATTTGATATTATTATAAATATTGCTGCCATGTTGTAATATTACAATGTATTTTCCATAAAGCAATAGGGTAAGTGGGAGGCACAATCCAATTGCAAATGTATAAATAAAATGAAATCATATCTGAGGGAGTAATCTATTTTCAAAAGATCTCTTCTCAGACAAATTGGATTTTCTTGCTAATAACTTTCTAGATAAGTTGAATTTCAAATTCCCAGGCTTTGTGATGAATACCTGGAAATTTCAGGCACTGAAATATTATATTTCTGAAAGTTGGGGATGGATGATTTAACCTTGAATATTTGACATCTCTATTTCTCTTCCAGATTTAGATTACTGTATCCAATGTCCTGAAGAAAACTACTCTAACAAGAATCAGGATCTGTGCATTTAAAAACACACAGTCTTCTTGTCTTACAAAGAACCCTTAGGAATCACCTTGACCAGTGTTGCTGTCTTTTTTTCTTTCATCTCAGCTGTCGTTCTGGTAGTCTTCATTAAAACACAGGACACTCCCATTGTCAAAGCGAACAACCGGACCTTCACCTATACTCTTCTTGTTTCTCTCTTCTTCTCCTTCTTTTGCACTTTGTTTTTTGTTGGACAACCTGACCAAATAAAATGTCTCATGAGACAAACATCTTTTGGCATCATCTTCTCTATCACCCTTTGGGGAAAATGATCATAGTGGTCCTTGCTTTCATGGACACCAAACTAGGCTCCAAAATGAGGAAATGGGTGGGGAAAAGACTGGCCAGCACCATTGTTCTGTCTTGCTCGCTAATACAGATCACCATTTGTAGTGTGGCTGGCAATTTCTCCTTTGTTCCCAGACTCAGACATGAATTCCATGGCTGAAGAAATTATCTTAGAATATAATGAAAGCTCAGCCTACATGTTTTACATTGTCCTTGGTTATATGCAGGGGTGGGTTTCTACTGGTTCTGTCCACCTCTGTAGAATCAGTAGCTCTGAAGAGCAGCAGACATATAACCAGTTCTATGTTTGCTGATGTTTTTGCGCACCTGCCCACCCAGGCTCTTACCTGATCTTTATTTCCTGATTTTTCAACTTCAGCTGCTGAATGAGGCACAGCTGCAGTTAAAAAAACAGGAAAAGGGGGCTGTTTCAAAGGCTGCTCCTTGGCACGCAGTGTGCTAATGACGATTTACCGGTGTGCGGCTCACAGCGGGCAGGAAAGCTCGTAAATCCCGAACTGGTAGTTAACCCTGTTGTATCCCACCCCTGGTTATATGGGTTTCTTGGCTTCTATCAGCTTCATAGTGGCCTTTCTAGCCAGGAAGTTATCTGATAGCTTTAATGAAGCCAAATTTATCACTTTTAGTATGTTTTTTTTAATACTGTCTGGATGTTTTTGTTCCCATCCATCTGAGCCCCAAGGGGAAATACATGGTGGCTATGGAGATCTTCTCCATTTTGACCTCTGCAGCTGGATTACTTTGCTGCATCTTCTTTCCCAAATGCTACATAACTGTTATGAGACCTGATCTGAACAGAAAGGAGCAGCTAATAAAGAAACACATGTGATATCTTTTTGTTTATATTTATTTAGTACAGTTATTAGTCCAGTTACATCTGGAGCTTCTTTCAATTTTTAAATTTATTCAGAAACAGTACTCCCCCCCCCCCAAAAAAAATAATAATAATCAAGAACAATGTAAGCACTTCATATATATTTATATTTATATTGAATTGAACAGTGTCTTCCAACTGATCCAGAAGAAACACACTGGAATATAGTTTAGAATATTGGTGGAAGGAGAGAAGTGAGGGGGAAGATTATATTAAAAAATTAAACAACAGAAACGCATCACTATTTGTCTAAAATCTAAACAAATATTCTTGGTAGTTTTATGCTATGCAACAACGTAAAAGTGTAACATTTTAGAGTAAACCTGTTGGTAGGACCCACACCATTAATCCATTACTACAAGAGAGAAGGAAAAGAAAAAGTTTCTTTCAATTACGCACTATTTTTCTTTTCTGCAATCTCTTTCAAGCAGCTTCCCATATATATTTTTTCCTACATCCTACTTGTTCTCTTTTAATATATGCCAATTCTTCTTCTTAGCCCAAATGTAAGAATTTCCTACTTCCTCTTAGCTTTGCTTCTTAGTGGCATTCCATCCATGATTTCTCCCTATTTTAAATTTTGTTGTTAACAAAGATTATTTGTTATAACAAAGATTATAACTAATTCTTGGTTTGGAAATTCAACTGTTGTGAAATTCAACTGGGTGCCCGGTTGGGGTGTGTTTGAGCTGGAGGTATCGGGGGGGTCTGTTTGTGCCCAGGTGTTTGCCTGGCTTGTGGTGTGGAGATTTTTTTGTTTGCACTCTCAGATTTTTTTGTTTGCACACACACACATACACACACCCCGATACCTCCAGCTCAAACACACCCCAACCAGGCACCCAGATGAAACCTAGCTTCCTAATAAATGATAGCCGTCTGTTTACTCGAAGCCAAGCCACACTAAAAGCCTCCAATACAAGAAACACAATGTTGCCTGCCAATCAAGACAAAAAAAGCTACAAAACAGACAGAAGATATTAGAAACACCAATCAAGCAGAACACAGCAAACTCCAAGACCAATAAACACAGACCAAGACTCCCAACCAATCAGGATGAAGAAAAAACCATTCTGGCCCAGCAGTAGGCTAGCATCACTACCCACTTCAAACCCTCCCCCAGCAACTAAGACTAACCTGAGCACAACCAAGCCCCCACCTGAACAGAACACTCCTCCAGCCAATCAGAACACGGCCAATCCCCCAACCAATGAGAACACAGCCAAACCCCCAACCAATGAGAACACAGCCAAGCCCCCACCCAATCAAGTCACACCCCCACTAGCAGTTAAAAGGAAGAAGCAGCTGCAAGCTCACATCACTCTGAGAAGCACAGAGCCGAAGACACAAGCCTGAAGATGATGAATGAGACTTCATCAAAACGTTGCCTAGATACTTCCAATCTTACGCAGGAGAAAACCCGAACAACCAAAGATCCACATACAAATACCCGTGAGAACCTCAGAAAACATATATATATATATATATTTGAAAGATAATGAAGCCTTTTCATTAATTCCACCCCCCACATTTTGGAAGCCTACTTTAAATGCAAACCTGGCTTCCATGTCATGCCATCTATACCATCTATACTAGTACGAGGAAGGAAAACTTGTTCTTTTTCTCGTATTTATGTTATTTATTTGTTTGCTTGTTTATTTATTTTCATTGGTCTTCTTTGCTTTTGAGAACTGTCTTTTCTGAGGGGGCTGTCAATATATTTTGACTGCTACACAAAATGTCACAAAAGCATTTACACCAAGATGAGATCATGATCTTTTTGCTACAATTTTTGCTGCAAAAAAACAGTTGATCCAGGGATGGTGTACCCTGTAATAGACCAAGTTTAATTCTACTTTTCTGGACTCTAGGGATTTCCAAAGAACAGAGCAAAACAGGAATCTAATCAAGAGTGATTATGCTGGACTTTGTTTTTCTTGTATATTTCTACATTTAGCACACCCAAGAGAAAGAGCCAAAATGTTAGGTTGTTCTATATTTAAAAACCATATCAATGATCATTTGGGCAAAGCACATCTGTGATTTGCTATGTTACTCTTCAGGCTGTGCATGATAATATGGCTTTTTCAGGTGATGTGCTATCATTGGGCATGCACCATTGGCAACCCTAGTATTAAATACAAGTCTTACCATTCAGGTGATTTCATCATTGGTGGCATTATTTCTCTGATCTACATGATGTCTGATCAAGTCACCTTTAAAAAACTTCCATCTGAAGAACTTCTTGATGATCCCATGTATGTATCTGTCATTATTAACTCCCTAATCTGGCTGGCTGAAGATAATATATTTTAGGGAAAGAATAAATGATTGAAATGTAACTTTTATCTCCTTTCAGTTATTCTGTTCTATTTCTGGTATCATAATTATTGGATTAACACCAAGACAATGATTTTGTTCCACTTTATTTCATCTTCATTAAAGCTATATAAGGTCTTGCTTAACAGATACCTGAGTGATTCCCAAACCTCTGCTTTATAGTTTACCGATGCTTCTGTCCCAAACTTCCATGACACACTACTTCCAACATAATACTGTATGTCTATAACTGATCAGATCACATCCTGCACAGAAAATTTGTGTGACATAGTCCTAAAGTTAATCAATTTATTTTGGAGACTCAACACAAATTCAATGCAGAAGAATTTCTGCTATTTACATTATGGTCTATGTTTTTTTAATAAATTTTTATTGGTTTTTAAGACAAACATAGACAGACAAAACATAAAAACATCAAGCCATATTCCATATATATACATACAGTGTGTCGGTTGGTTTACAAATTGTTTTGTGCTTCCATTTTGTAGTCTTCAATTACAATTACATTGTATATATTCTCATATTTTCAATCAAATATTAAGTACATTAATATTGTTAATCAATCATTTGACTATACTTTTATTCATTCATGTTTTACGAAATAATCCATATTTTACTTAATTTGTTTTATGATAGTTCATTTTATCATCTCAAATCTATCGTACAATCATTTTGTAGATATAATAAGAAAAGAATACATCTTTATGTATTTATTATTTTCTAAGAATCTACATATTTCATTACCATGTTTTATTGTCTAACCATTGATAGAATAGTTCCCAAATTTTATAAAATTGTTTATCATCTTGTTCTCTGATTTCAAATGTCAATCTACTCATTTTAGCACATTCCAATATTTTCTTAATGATTTCCTCCTGTAATGGTATTTTCTCATTTTTCCAGTTTTTAGCAAACACAATCCTAGCCGCTGTTAATACATTTACAATCAGGTATTTCAATTCTTTACTATATATTTCATATATAGTAAACTCCCAATAAAAATATCTCTGATTTCAAGTCTATATGCTTTTTTGTCATTTTTTCCAACCACGTGTGGATTTTAGTCCAATATTTTTTGGCATCCGCACAAGTCCACCACATATGGTAATATGAGCCTGGTATCTGATGACATTTCCAACATTTTTTGGATTTGTTCTTGAAAATTCTTGCTATTCTTCTTGGGGGGAAATTCCACATGTAAAACATCTTATACAAATTTTCTTTATATGCTGTTGACATTGTCATCTTATAATTTTGAGACCACAATTTTTGCCATTTCTCTAGATCAATCCCATGTCCAAAATTCTTCCCACAAGCAATCATAGTTTCTTTAACTTGTTCTTCTTCTAGTTTAATTTCTAATAAGTATCCATATATCTTTTTAATCACCTTTTCATCAGTACCTGTCAAAATCTTATCTAAATCAGTCAGTTTATCGTAGAAACCTTCTGTTTTAGAATCTTTGTCATACCTTGAATGTATTTGCGCATATGAAAACCAATTCATCTTTATACCTTGTTCCTCTAATTTTTGCATAGATTTAAGTTCACCCTTTTCATTCAATATTTCACCATATCTAACTGTTTGTTCCTTTTTATATATTATAGGATAGGAAAATGCTTCAATGGTCGATAACCAAACTGGAATTTTCAAATAACATTGTCTTTTGATCTTCTCCCAATTTAACCACAAAGATATATAATGTCTTGTAAAATAGCCCTGCGTTTTAGTTCCCTTATACCATAGAAAGGCATGCCAGCCCAACAACAAATCATGACCTTCTAATGTCAACAATCTAGTGTTTCTTAGTGTTATCCATTCCTTGGCCCACATCAGCTTTGCAGCTTGATAGTACAACTCCCAATCAGGCAAGCCAAAACCTCCTCTAATTCTGGCATCTTGTAAAAGTTTTAACTTTATTCTCGCTTTCTTACCTTGCCATATATATTTCAACACAATTTTATTTAAATCTTCAAAATAATCTTTTCCAAGCCTAACTGGAATTGTTTGGAACAAATATAAAATTCTGGGTAGTATATTCATCTTGATTGTTGATATTCTCCCTATTAATGACAGTTGTAAATTCTCCCATTTCGCCAAATCTAGCGCTATCTGCTGCTTAATTTTGATATAATTATTCTATTTTAATGTATTACATCTTGCTGTCAAATGTATCCCCAAGTACTTGATCTTATTCGTGACCTGAATTTTCAGTACATCCACCAGTTCTTCCTTTTGTCCTGATAGCATGTTCTTTGTCAAGATCTTTGTTTTATCTTTATTTATTTTCAAACCAGCCACCTTTCCATATACCTCTATCTTTTCTATCAGTTTTGATGCTGTTTCTAGTGGATCTTCTAAAATGAAAACCAGATCATCTGCGAATGATTGCAACTTGAATTCTTCCTTTTTAATTTTCATCCCTTTTATATCCTTCTCTAATATTTCTGTTTAACACTTCCAAGGTTAACACAAACAACAAAGGTGATAGTGTGCACCCTTGTCTTGTTCCTTTTCTTATATCAATAGAGTCTGTCAGTTCTCCTTCTATCATTACCTTTGCTGTTTGGTTATGATATATAGCTTCTATTGCTTGAATAAATTTTTTACCAAAGCCCATCTGTTCGAGCTGTAATAACATGAATTGCCAATTCACATTATCAAATGCCTTCTGTGCATCTAAAAATATCAAAGCCATTTGCTTTTCAGGGTGTGCCTCGTAGTATTCCAAAGTGTCCAAGATTACTCTCATATTGTCTTTAATTTGTCTCTTTGGCAGAAATCCATTTTGATCAGGGTGGATAAAATTGTTTAAGTATTTTGTAAGTCTTTCTGAAGCAAAATTTTGAAGCAAAAATTTTATAATCTGCATTTAGTAAGGAAATAGGTCTACAGTTCTTGATTTGTAATGGATTGGCCTCCTCTTTTGGGACTAGTGTAATATAAGCTTCTGACAATGATTTGGGTATCTTCTTCTCAACATAACTTCATTCATAACTTCTAGCAATGGAAGGTTCAACGATTCTTGTAGTGTTTTATAAAATTCTGCCGGAAGTCCATCTGGGCCTGGTGCCTTTCCATTGTTTTGCTTCTTAAGTGCTTCAGTTAACTCCATCATCGTTATATTGCTTTCTAACATTGTTTCAATCTCTGTAGGTATCTGGGGTAGATTAGCATTCTGTAAGTACTGTTTAACTCTTTCCTCATCAATATTCTCTTGTGTGTATAGTTTCCCATTATAGTCTCATATAATTTCCTTCTTGTCTTTACTACCATACTTGGTAGTAAACTTGGCCTTGGTCATCTATTAATTGCAATATTTCCTTGATTCTTTCTCCTTTCTCAATTTGTATGCTAACCATCTACCTGGTTTATTTGCATCTTCAAAATAGTTCTGTTTCGCACTTCTGATTTTCTGTGCTAGTTCTTCTTTTTCCATTAGTCCCATTTTATGTTTAATTATATCCATCTTTAACTTAATGTCCTTTTTCTGTGGCATTTTCTGTAGCTCTTTTTCAAGTCCTTTATACTCATCATCTAAAGCCTTAGAGGCTAGTCTTTTCATGGTATTTCTTTTCCTTGTATAGTCTATTAACAAGCTTCTGGCATATGCAGCCCATACATTCTGCATTGATGTATCTTCTTTTTTGTTTTCTCTAAAGAAAAAAAGCCAATTCTTTCTCCATCCATTGTGTGAAGTCTTTTTCCTTTAATATAGTATTATTTAACATCCATCTAGATCTTCTTCTTTGTCCTTTCCATTTAATTGTCATTTGGATTGTGATCTGCCCAAGTACTTGTTTCAATATTTATTTCTTGCATTTTGGCTAACAATTCTATTGATATCCATATCATGTCTTTTCTGGACCATGATAAATGTCTGTTTGAATAGAAGGTGTATTGTTTAGTCTTAGCATTTCTTTCTCTCCATGTATCTTTTAAATTTATTTCATCTATCATTTAAAAAAAGGATTTAGGGAGAGTCTTTCTGTTTTGCTTTGTTGTTTTCTGTACTGTATAGTCCAATTTATTATCTACAATTCCATTAAAGTCTCCCATCATAACAATATTAGCATAGTCCAGTTCAATTATTTTCATATGTAATTTTCTATAAAATTCTTCTTGATTGTCATTCGGGGCATAGATTGCAATTCGGAGTGTTTTCATATTATTGTCCATTATTTCCACCATTAGTAATCTTCAATTGTCATCGGTATAGATCAATTTTGCTGGGATAATATCTTTAATGTATAAAACCATTCCTCTTTTCTTGCATTGTGTCAAAGAAGTAAATATTTTCCCTAATTTTGGCTGTATCAGCAATTGTTCATGTTGCTTTTTAATATGTACTTCTTGTAGGCAGATTATATCAAATTTTAATTTCTCTAATTTATGGAAAGTTTTCCTTCTTTTAACAGCTGAGTTAAGTCCATTTATGTAAATTGTAATCAGTTTTTTCTCTTCCATGGTTATATTTTGTAGTTAGGTTTAGCAGCTCTCGTAGTTCTTGGTTCACACTGTTCTTTGACTTCCACCATTCTGCCTACTGCACCTTCTTCCTTTTCAGTCACTATTTTGCAGTCCTCTTGGAATTCAATTAGTGACATTTCTTTTTCTGCCTCCTCCTCTTTCCCTCCAAAATATTCTTTATAAAATAATACAGCTTTCTCAATTGAGTCAATTCTATGTCTCTGTTCTTGCCATGTGAACATTAAATCTTCTGGAATCAGCCATCTATAGTTCACCTCTTTTTTAAGTAGAATTTTAGTCAGAAATCGGTATTCTCTTCTTATCTCTCTCACTTTTCTGGGTATTTGTTTTAAAACCAGAATCTCCTTGCCCTTATTTCAACGTTTTCTCTCTTGCCACTTGCAATATTTGTGTTTTAATGGGTTTCTTTGTAAATCTAATGTGAACT